ATTTCATAAATGTTTAAGTGCAATAAATCATTTGTTAATAATAATGTATAATAATAAATAATAAATCTATTAAATATATTAAACGTATAGTAAACATATTAAAATCATATTTTTGATTTTACTTACTGCCTTATCGGAGTAAAATTTGAAAAATTCTCTTATAATAGTGCTGTACATATACACTTCCAATCCCTAACGAATAACAATTGTATTCATAATAATTAAAACCAAAATTGATATAGTCAGTATCTACTCAAGTAGTTTAAGTTTTTTTGATTGTTTACGTTGTGTAAACTACTTTTTGAACATAGATTTTCTTACTATCATTATATTAAATCATTTTGCATACTTATTTTTAATAAATATATCGAATTAAAAATTATACTATAGTATTCTATAGTTTACTATAAATTATAGTAATTCCACTACATTAGATAAGATTATCTTTATAAAGAAGTAATAGTTTTTGTAACTAGTCGTAGAATATTAATTTGAGCGTGTAAGTATTACAGTTTTCAGGTGACTGAATTTACAAGAAAAATTTATATGTTAAAGATTTAGATACTTTAATATAATATTAAATATAATACCACATATAATACCACAAAGCAAAATTAAAAAACTTAACTACTTTATAAGTAAATCTTATTTTTAAAAAGTATTTAAATAGTGCCGATACATCGTTAGGTATGTTATGATGTGTGTTACTTGGGAATGTTGGGTCGCGTAGGCATAAAATAATGTTTCTTCTCCAAACATATCAACTTCCTCGAAATATGTGAATACGTTCATTTTTCTTAATAAGGCGATAAAATTGTTTTTTACTTTATTAATATATTCGATACTTGTGTAAAATAAAGTTCAGACATTTTTAGGTATACTTTATAAAAATATAAAATATTATTCGGATAAAATTTAAAGCTGTTCTGAATACTTCATTTTTATTTCGATTGTTGTCTATAAAGAGTACATTTTTAAATAATGAACATTGAAATGCAATTTATTTAACAATTTTCGAATTTAATGGACAGTTTTAGCATTAAACTAAGAATGGTACAATTTTCAACATCATCGTTATTATTGTTCGCAAATTATTCAACAATTGAAAAAGATATATAAATTATTTAACAACAACAAAAAAATAAATAAGACAAACAATTATTTAAAGTTTTTAAGTGTCACAATAAACGGGTAATATATTTATATTGTATTTTACCTTTACATAAGTACAAATATTTTTTATTATTTATTTGAACAGATAGATGCACTTTCAAATTATCCACAAAGACATGTATTATGTGTTGGAATTGAAATAACCAAAAATGTAATAATATTGTGTTTCATTAATGAAATTGTAAAATAAATATTACTATAATATAATAAGTACTTTCAAGATTACTTTATAATACCCTTTCAATGAAGTTTCATAAAGTTATATAAAAAAAATATATATTTATGTATATATTAAAATTAATTGAATTCAAAATTTTGTTTCATAAATTATACTTTTAGCATAAATAGTAAACTTTAGAGTAAGTTTCATGGTATATAATACATTTGTTAAAATTTATAGAACCATTTTTTTCAACATATATGTCTAAGTATTTTCTGGTAAGACAAAAATATTTTATAAAATAAAATAAAATGATATCATTATATCTCGTTTAATTTTTTGCAAATTTGTTTCAACAATACAAACCCCACAGAAAAATTAAATTTTGGATTCTTTGACTTTTCACAAGAGATGTGTGTTTAGTAAAAGCAATGGTTTAATTTTAAAGCTTCATTTTTATAAATACTTACTTTTTCTATATGACATCAAAGCTTTTTTTTATTATTATCGTGAGATCTTTTTATTACCAACGTCTCTATACAACAAAAAGTATAAAACTTCAAATCGATAGATTTTTTAATTACACACACATAAATATATTAAAAATATATTAAAAAAAGACACAGGCAGTTATTTACATAAACTAAATCTACTTACAGTTGAGCAATCGATATGATAGAATGTATATTATAAAATAATCGTTTAATATACATTTATATTTTTCTTTGAATCTTTTGAGAACGACTGATAATACTTAATTAGCGATGATTTTCCATATTCGTTCTTTCATCACTAATGAAATGCTATCGCAGAACTTAGTTATTGATTTAAGAGAAAGTACATTATCTGCCCCTATGTATCCACGGGTAAGATCATATGATTTTTGTGTAACCGCTACATATTCGTGCTAATTCAACGGGGATAGAAGAGATAAGTGTAAAATAATGGTGTGTTACAGATTACGGCATGCGAAATTACATAAAATATTTAGTTAATCGCTGGATCAAACTTATTTCTCAAATGAATAAGTTAGGTTCGCGAAAAATTATTTATGCATCTGAGTTAATTTTTTATACGAAGTGTGTGTATTGGTGAAAGTTCAATTAAGTTTTTCTTCTTAATTTATATCTATAAGTTTCATATAATATTTTTAACTGTGATTTATTAAATGCTCTTTGTATACGTTATTACAGATGTCGAAAGAGAAGGAATTGTTAAAAAAATACGAGGTAATTCAATAATAAAAAGTTTCGAATAATTCTTTTCTATTATTATTTTAAGTATATGAATAATTTAAATTATTGATACATCATGGCTTTGGCTTATTATTAATAAAAAGCATATTGAAAAGATTCGATACTCATTACTGATAAGTGGACCATAAAGGTCATCTTGTATTTTTTTGCGCAACTACATTGGCTTATCATTTTCAACTGACTAATTAAAAGTGCTTATTACACAAAACAGCCACGACATATTTATACGTATTTTATAATTTATTAGAGAATACAGAAAATATATTTAATTTACTGATTTCATTTTAATCTGTGAATTATATTGATAAAATTGTAAACAAATTTCATTGTAAAATTTATCGTAAATGTTTTTCCTTAATTTTTTAATATAATTTAGTAATTTAGAATTCTTTCAATATTCACAATTATAAAAATATATGCTAATTATCTTGAACATGTATAATGACTTGTATTGTTATTATATCGAGTATTTTATTTTATACTTAACATTATACGGCATTAAACAGGCCTATGTGTGTGTATAAAATTATATTTTATTTATAATTCTTTGAATTCTTTGAATGCGGAAGTATATATATATATATATATATAAGCATAGTATAGTTTAATATTATGAATATTAATTTGTTAAAGAATTTTTTCGTATACTCAACTATTTATTTGAATTATCAATCGCCAATGCTGTTATATTTACGTAATATATTATGAAAATAATTCAGTAACATTGTATTTCAAAATCAAATAAGTATTTGAATAAATTGATTAATCTGGATTTCTACTTTATTATAAAAATATCCTCGTAATATACTAAAAGCATTGTAATCATGCAATATCAGGCGCTTGTAAATAGCCAGTTTACGCTTAATATAACACCGAGGATCCCGGTATTGTCTTATTATTTATTCGCAAGCAACACAAAGCAACACAAAATGCCGTTAAAGTTATTCTAGACTATTTTTGCTAATCCTGGCAAATCCGGCACAGCATATGTTACGCGGCAAGGTGATTGCGATTCGACGTGAGGACCAATCGGTATGGGAACGTCGCGCCCCTATGGCTCCGACTAACGTCCGGCGCTTGATCCGGGCGGGCGTGAAGGTCATTGTCCAGCCGAGTAATCGACGGGCCTACCAAACAAGCAAATACTTGGCCGCTGGTGCATCAATCCAAGAAG